TCAAGTTACTTACATGCTATACAATCTTTTGAACAGGAGCAGCCCCAAACCCAAGAGCGAGTCAGACAACATTGTAATCAGAGTGGGCTACCTGAAACTGAACCATTTGACCAGTTGCAAGCAGGAGACTGGGTGTATCGAAAAGTGCATCAAAGGAAAGACTGTCTCTCCCCAAGGTGGAAAGGCCCATACCAAGTGGTGTTAGTAGCTCACAGCAGTGCAAAGCTTGAAGGTCTAACCTCGTGGGTTCACTTAAGTCATCTCAGGCATGCTCCAGCCCCAGCCCCAGCCCCAGCCGCAAGCAATACTAAGGACTGTGTTCAAAGCTCCTGGGGAACAAACAGATTAAAGAAGAAAGAAGGGTGAAGTTTTGACTACGAAACCCCAGAGAGCTCTGAAGACAAGTTTTAAATGGACTCTTGTTGCTAGTTTAATATTAATACTTGGGCTCCTGCAGTCATTTAAATTGTTTACTGTTTACTGTTTCTTTTTCTTTTTTTCTGCCTCACAGCAAAACTATGGCTCTGTTTACTTTTATGTTTATTATAGCCTATCTGCAATGCCAGGATATAAGATGCAATACCCACTAGATTGGTTGCCTACTAACAATTCCTATCTGACTTTGGTTCATTCAATAATCCCACCTGGTGAACCCTTCTGTGCTCTCGAGGGAACCAACTGGGATTCTGTGTTTAAAACATGTTTTGTAGGAGTACCTGATCTGTTTTTAAACGTGCTCTGTACCATTGTTGTACCACTCACTACACATAACCCACTTACCCTTGATTACATAGGGAAAACCCTCCTATACTATCAGTCCACAACCACCAAACACCAGTGGACCAACCAAGCATTATACAGGGAAAAAACCAAGGGCAATTTGCCACGGACCAACTCTGTGTGAATAGTTGGCTGTGAAGACAAAAAAGACATGCCTTTCCCTACCAGCTCTTGAAAAATGCTCAGGGGTAATACACCTCACCTCTGTAAAAGTTTCTCGCTACTTATCAAAGGGCTGGTATCTACTGTGTGGAAACTATGCCTTTTCATACTTCCCAGCACAATCCTCGGGAGGCGCCTGCACAGTTGGGCATTTCACTTCATTTCATGCAGTACCACTTGTTCAAAATTACACTCATCATAAGCCCAGGCGATCACACAGATATCAAATAGAGGGCCCCCTACTTGACAGTACCTGTGATGACCACATAGGGCTGTTGAATACCAAAGATGTTTGTGGGCTTGCTGTATCCCGTGCTTACCTGGATCTCAGAAAATTGGCCTGTTTAGTTATAAAAAGCATCAACAAGTCCTCAAATGCTATAGCTCTCCTAAATGAAGAGCAGGAACAATTAAGAACAGCAATCTTAT